CCATCCCTGGAGGTGTTCAAAAGACGGGTTGATGTAGTGCTGGGAGGTATGGTTTAGTGATGGTGATGCTCCTTGTTTGTTGTGCAGGTGTCTATTTTTGTCAAAATTAGGTTGACGGTTGGACAAGATGATCTTTAAGGTCCCTTCCAACCTAGAAGATTCTGTGATTCTGTAAAAAGCCTTGAAAAAGCCCTAAATTCGCCTCCTCAAACTTTTTCTCTGCAGCGAACACCTTCAGAGTTAGGAAGGGGGCGAGGGAACACCGGCAAGGAAGAGGTACCCCCCCAAAATCCCCCTTCTTCGAAAGCCAACTCTTCCAGAAAAAGCACCAGGCGTTGCGAAAACGTCAATAAATCGCAAGGGTTGGCATCAAGAATTTGCCCGCTCAGTGGGTCAGGAGTGAGCAGCTAAAAAGGACACGCAAGAGAAGGATAAAAAAATCACAGTGATGACTTAACGCTCGTGTTATTATTTGCCCCTCAGGCCAAAATTTTGGCAATTTGTCTTGAACTTCCCAATGAACCATTTTTTCAAAGCAAAATGAATGAAAAAATAAAGAGGGAGGTGGAGGCTGCAAATGAAAAGGAAAGGGAGACTCCATGCATGGGCACCAAAAGTCTGGGTGGGTTCAAGAATGGGTGGGAAAATCCATAGGAAAAAGGAAAAAAAAAAATAAAAAAGATTTGGTGGCAAAGGTGGTGTGTCTGACCTGGAACGTTCCTGGATCACAAACTCCTGGGAGCCAGGGCTGTTTTGGGGACAAATCATAGAATCATAGAATTGCCCAGGTCGGAAGGGACCTCCAAAGGTCATCTAGTCCGACCCCCCCGCAGTCAGCAGGGACACCCCCAACTAGACCAGGTTGCCCAGGGCCTCGTCGAGCCTCTCCTTGAATATCTCCAGGGAAGGGGCCTCAACCACCTCCCTGGGCAACCTGTTCCAGTGCTCCACTACCCTCACAGTGAAGAACCCACTCCCAATAGGTGCCTGGTCTTGCCCGCTCCCTTTGGGGTGCACTGTTTGCTGGTGCTGGTAACCCAGGCTGACCTACATGGACCTTGGGCCCATACCTTCGTCTGATAGCCTTAAATTGCATGATATTGGGCGGTATGATACTGGATTTTTAGTCATAGACTTTAACCAGCTCATGAAACAGGACGAGTGTGACCAGCAGGTGGAGGGAGGTCATCTGATAGCCTTAAATTGCATATTGGGTGGCATGATACTGGATTTTTAGTCACAGACTTTAACCAGCTCATGAAACAGGAAAAGAGTGTGACCAGCAGGTGGAGAGAGGTTATCCTGCCCCTCTGCTCTGCCCTGGTGAGGCCACATCTAGAGTCCTGTGTCCAGTTCTGGGCTCCCCAGTTCAAGAAGGACAGGGAACTGCTGGAGAGGGGACAGCAGAGGGCTGCAAAAGTGATGAGGGGCCTGGAGCATCTTTCCTCAGCCAGAGGAAAGGCTGAGGGACTGGGTCTTTTTAGTCTGGAGAAGAGAAGGCTGAGGGGGGATCTGATCAATACCTATAAATACTGAAAGGGTGGGTGTCAGGGGGATGGGGCCAGTCATTTTT